ATTATGGTGGAAAACTATTAAATTCACTCATATGATCACCACTTCATAGCTATTATTTTATATGTGAAAATTACATGTTTACGGATTAAGCGAATTACAAAAGACTTTGATCAATTTTTTGTTAATGTGTAAAAAAGGTGTAATTACAATTTTTCATAAAATTTCTATATATCTATATATGTAAATGTTAAAATCCAAATAATACATGAGATTATCACAATATATGAATTTAATATATGATAAATAATACATCAGTTATACGCAAGATTTGTTAAATTTCATTTTTAGCATTCATACTCGACAATATTTTCTTTAATTCCTAAAAATATAATATTAAAAATATGAGAATATTTGTAATGTAAGTAAAATATAATATGACTTCAGACTCATAAGAAAAAAATAAAAAATATTCCCAATCTAGATTTGTCTTTTTGGATGTTTAAGAAATATATAATTTTTAATTAAATATGAACAGTTGTGCAATGGGGCTTGGAATAATAATCGTTTATAAGAAATAATTTTCCTGCTTTGCTTCAAATAATTTTGGAATTCATTTTTCAAGTAGAACAAGTTAGAAATTTGCATATGCAGTAGTAATTATTATATAAGAGAAATTCTCAATTATATCACTTCATTCTAAGCACGATATATATTTTTCTTCAAGCAGAACATATCTAAGCAAAAGATTAATTATATTTCTTTATGTTACTACTTACGATGATTTTTAAAAATTACATATTTTACACGTATTATTTGAGGATTCCTTACCCATTTTATGTATCCTGTATTTCATCTATCCTTACTTCAGATGAATTAGGTGTATATTTTTTTATGATGTATTTTTTGCACTGTGCAGATTTATGAGGTAGTATGTAAGAATAAACCAATAACCGATGTGTTTATCTCGATTTTGTCCCATTTAAATAAATTTTTACATTTTATTTAATATATATTTTTAATATACTGAAAATTTATGACTATTAATTAGGCCCAATTAGCCTGAAATTTAAACTTTTTTCCATGAATGTTTATTTTTTGTGTCTTCATGCGAGCCATAATTTAAAAAATGTTTTATCAATATCATTTAACATATTTGTTTTAATATTAAGTAAAAATATTTGCATCCCCCTTATATTTCTATATGAGATCTTTATATTAAGTCTTATTTATGTACGCCGATCTAATTATTTAAGGATTTTAAAAATAAATATTTTTTTAACAATACACTTTTTTTAATTATTAATTTCGGCAATGAAATAAAATATGCATAATTTTTTTTGTAGAAGTACCATATCGTACGTTTTAATCATTCATCATAATGACGCAAAAAAAAATAATTTATATCTATTTTTGTTTGTTACACAACATTCAATTTTCAGTATCATAAAATCCTTTTTATACTTTGTAATGTCTATTGTTTTAATAAATTAATATTCATAAAAATTATAATTATTAATAAATATTATATCCCAATATGTTACAACAATGAATACAATTTAATAATTAAGCGCGAATACTGAATGCAACCTAAATTTCTTTCTATAAATAAATAGGACACTTATTGCATCACAAAATGAAAAATGATTTTATGAACAAATTATAATTTTTAATAATCATGAATTTATATAATTGCAAAGGCAATTGGTAAAACTTTATCTAAAATAAGTTATTTATGAATTTAAAAAAAAAAAAAAAGCAGTGAATAAATTACTCATTGAAAAAACATTAACATTGTCATAATTAAAATAAAATGTATACTGAATTATTATAATTTAATATGTGACATATAGAATTGATATATTCATGTATCGTGTTCATTAAATTCATGTCAAATATGAGGTAAGCATCATATAATATTATATATATATTAATACAAGCTTATACTTCAATAATATATTTTCACCTAATAATTGTTTTTTTAATTATGAAATTGAATGTATTCTGAAAGTATTATTTTATTATAATATCTATACCATTTATTGATAACATTGAGGAAATATAATTTCAGTTTATATAATCCGAAAATAAAAGATATATATCATAATGTAAGTAGTTTATTATTGAATAACCACAATAAGAAAAATACATAAGCACATATTCTAAAACTAACGATTTATGGAATGCGCTGATGCTATATCCCTAAAAACTTATATTAGACAGAATAAATAATGAAATTATAGAAATATAAAGTGTTAATACACGCAATATATATATCGTATAATGCAACTTTTTCCTTATGTTTATATCTATATGGAAAAGTTATTATCCCAATTTTTCCAGATAAGCTCATGTGATTCATCAGACGTATATCTAATATATATGTGGGTTAAATATAAAAAAAAGCATATATGTAATTATAAAATGATGCTACATTCATTTATAAATTTATTTTAATAGTTAACTATTAATGAATCATTATTAAAAATTATATATGACTTTTAGGTATAAATAATAAAAAATTACAATAAATGTTATTATTAAACTCATTTTATTTTCTATATAAATGTAAAGAAGTTGTTAAATCATGTATTCTAACATCCTAAATTATCCCCTTAATTTTATAAGATGGTTCAAGTAATGATAATATGCTTTTTGTTAATATAATTACTCATATTAATAAATTATAATATATATATTTATTTTTTGCATTAAATGATTATTTAAATGTTTTATACGTTCCCCCCTTTTCTTTTTATACTTATGCTCTTAGAGAGTTACAAATAATGCCGGAACTATAGAGAGTGTGTGTAAACAATTGACGGTAAATGTCATATCAGCCGATGCTTACAGTGATAGTATATTAAGTCAAACAAAGGAAAAAGATGAAGAGCTATTCAAAATAGGATGTTGTCTGGATCACTATAAAGAGACATCGGAAAGTATAAATAAAACAAATTTATGTGCTTCCTTAAATGAATGGTTAAACGCTAAAAAAAAAGAATACTTAGAGAGTTCTAAAAAATCTGATAAGTTAACATTATGGGATAATAATATAGAGGCATTGTGGAAAGAATTACAAAATGGTGATGGTGACAAATGGTGCAGTAGAGAACTTAACACATATGAACATTATAATGCATCAAAAAGGGTATCTACTTTTTCACTACCATCATTAAATGACATTCTCGTTTCTGTTTTTATTCCTATTATTTCAACACTCCTTGTATTTTTGATTATATTTAATGTAATAGAAAAGTATTGGTAAAAATTTATTCATATTGTTTTAAGTAATATTTGCAATATTTTAACATTAATAGCATTGAAACTATATTAATATGTTATATTTTACATTAATTTATGTTTTATATATAGTTTGCTAAAATTAAAAGATCTGTCCACAGTAAAGTTAATAGAAAGATCTTATTAAGGAAGGATGTACAAGACGCATATCCCTTAGAACATAATTATGCAGATTTTCCCTTAGATTTTGAAGACAAAAGAATTAATATAGTTTATTCATCAAAATAAAATTCTTAAGTAAAATGTAATTTCAAATAAAATATTTAATTAACAATATTACAGTCATAATATTTATTGCAAATATGGCTACATCATTAAAATTATAAAATAAAAAGAGAAAATATATTGAATAAAAAGAGTCAAATTGATGAAATGAACAAAATTGAACAAATAAAATGTGCCAAATAGATTTTATCTATACATGTAGTAATAGATCATGCATTTAGTTAAATCTCACATGTTAATAATAGAATGATTAGGATATATAATATGTTTAGAATTAAGGTATATTTTAATAATTATATAAGAAACTAGAATATCAAAAAATTATTATAATGTGTATTTAACACTGGGAAATTCACATTTCCATAATATTATGGAATAAAATAGAATGATTAATGCAGAAAAAAGTTATAAAAGGTGTAGTAAAAGTATTATATCAATTTGTCATTCCTCATATGTAGTACAATATTATTTTATCATTAATGCTCTTTTTTATGTCTTAAAAGTATATTGCTCATGCAAAAACAGTGTATTAAATCATGATAAGGACTAAATATATTCATCTATTTTTATTCATTATTTAAGTTCTTATCAAGTTGATTTTTAATATCATGAGTTTGTTTAGTAATTTTTTCATATTCATTTGTCAAATTAACATTTTTTCTGTTTTATTATATTGTGAGAATTGTTTCATCTTTATATAATGTTATTAGAGATGGTAGAATAAATGTGATTTTATAACAACATCCTATATTTATTTTAAACAATATATTTTCTTCGACTGACGTAATTGTTCGTAAAATTTTTCAAAACTGTATAATACATTATATCTCTTCTTCCTTGAAATACTACTTGTCATTTCTGCTTGTTACAGCACTTGAAATCTTTATAAATATTACTCAATAATTTTCTTTTCCTAATTATTTTTTTTTTCGTAAGGATGATCCAAAAATGGTGAACTAATTATCAATAAAAAATATTTATACATTATAAATATAATTGCTTATTCGAAACTTCATTAGTTCTGAAAAAGTAGTCATAATACAATTGGTTTAATATTATTTAATGATTTTATAAGTTTAATTCCATATTGAAGAAAACATTCTTTTAATTTGATAATAAATTATATATAGTTCTCTATAATAATTGTTGATATATCTCTGCTATTTATGTTCTTTTAACCCCTATTCCTTTTTACATAATTCATATTAAATGTAAGTAAATAAATATTCTTCTTATAACACATTTTATGTTTTAATATATTATATGCATTACTTATAATTAAATTTCATTTTCTTATAATGCATTTATTTGATTATTTCATAATTTTCATGTTTTTTTATAATGTGCTTTAATTAATATCTATCTCATCCAAAATATATTCACTATTAGTTTTATTTGTGTATTTATTTCATTTTTTTATTAATAACTTGAAATAAATAGTAAATATTTTCTAATTATTTCTTTTTGCAGAAACAGTTCATATACTATCTTCATATAGAGTCAGAAAAGTTCAATCATAATAAATTCATAATCAGTTATGAATTGCTACTATATTTTTTCCAAATATTAAAATTCTTTGAAATACTTTAATTTTGAAGTATAAAAAATTTTTTTTTGACAATATTATGCGTTTTTATTTTGTTTAAAGAAAATAGTACAAAATACACGAATCAAGTATGTATCTCAAAAATTTTCATTATATCATATTTTTATACTTAAAAAAATAACTGAAAACATAAAAAAAGTTAATAAAGATATACAAATTGAATCAAAATATACATATATTTACTAATAAAGAAATTCTTTATTTTAAAAAATTTTAGAATAATTTGACAGCATAAGTAAATGAACAAAATAAATCAACATAATGCACACTTTTATAATATTTTATCCTTATTTCTATACTGTAATTAAAATTACAGCACAAATTGTTTATATTTATAAATTTCAAAAACATAATCTTAATGTTCTACAATAATTTACAACAAAAAAATAATTAAATAAAAATTAAGAAAACAAAAGTATTGGTTAATATATACATAATGTTTAAAAAAAAATTTGGTTTATGAATTTTTTAAAAACAAATAATGATAATTATTTTTAATATTCAAAATAGCTATATGCAAAATTGATACTTCTTTCTCTTTCAACTGAAGGTCCATATAGTATCCTCAAGAACTTTTCATTCATTTTCTTTGTTTTTTTTTCTTTTGCTTTTTAAATAATTTAGAAAAAACCTTTTATATTATAAACGTATATGAACAATATAATAATTAACCTTATACAATATAAATAGAAAACAGGACATTAATAATGTTATAGAAATTTGAATTAACATAAAAGTTGTCATATCATAGGTTTGAAATGACGGTAATATTTAATATTCCAATGTATCACAAGAGAAATCTTTTGGTTCTGCATTATAAAGATTCCTAAAACCTGCTAATGGTTTACAAAAACCATGGGTATTATAGGATTGTCATGATTTTTTGTATTTCATATATAAATTAGTATATTTTTTTGGCATAATTGCATTTATCTTCACTACAAGTTTCACCACTATATTTTATATTATTCAGATTAGTGTATATATCATTTATATCATTTAGTTTCAATATTTCACCATCTGTAATGATAAAATCCTTATGATCCTGACATATATAGTCGAAATTATTGTTATTTACCTGGATAAACCTATCATAAAGCTTTTTAATATATTCATTATTATTTTCCACACCTTCATTATGGTATATCAAGTAATACAAGTATACACAAATGGCTTCTTCTAATATGGGATTATAATGTCTTTGAGTTTTTGCATATTTTATATAATTCAGAGATTTAAGGCGCATGTTACAGAAATCGGATTTTATGTCATTTAATATATTTATTTCTGAATTCTTACATAAATCACTTAGAATTTCATCACCCTGTTCTCTTTCATTTACTGTAAAATTTTTAAAATGTGAAAATAAGTTTACATATCCATGCTAAAAGTCAAGAATAATAATAATATGTGATATATTATATATTCTTGAGAAAATGTTTTCAAAATTTATGAAAAATTGAATATATAATTATTATAACATATTAATTTATAAAATAATAAATTATAGGTACTATATTTTTAGCCACCTCATATATGTTTAATTTATTTTACAACTATTCTGTATAGAAAAAAGGTTATCTCTGTACATATCAATATATATTTTTAAAAATAATATCATATAATCTGAAGAAGAATGTCACACATATTTACAGTAATAAAATTTTATATAAAAATTTAATATACTTTATTGATAATTTATTTTTTACATCATTGGAAAACAGCAATATTTATATCACATAATATATTCTTTAACTATTTTAAAGGCATAATATAAAGCATAGATATATGGCATAGAAAGTAACCCCAATTATATTGGTTGTTAAAATACTGCATTATATTTTTCATATAAAAAAAATGTTACTATAGAGAAAATATGAGAAGATAATATAATTTTATACTATGCTTTTAATTTTAATATATATATTATTTTATTTTTTTCCTTATAGATTGATAGTAATATTTCTGGTGTAAAAGAATAAAATTTATAACATTAAAATATACAAGTATTGAAGTAATTCTATAATTAATAAGTCATTCATATATATAAAACGATATATGGACATTAAAATCAAATATTATTGTTCACAATAAATATATATAAACACTATTCAATATATGTCATAATGATATAAATATATGAAAATTTTAATCTATGTTGATAATGCAATATTACAACATAAATTGCTTATATACATTTTTATATTTTTATTTAACTCATATGTAAATCACAAATTTATTATAAGACGAAATCTTATCTCAAAAAAAATTGAGATAACACTAATTCTATAAATATATAGAGGTATTATATAACCACAAATTATCAATTATTTATATTATTCTTAATAATATATAGTATTTATAAGTTTATTTTTTTTTATACTTTACAAGACTATGTATATTTAAAGAAATAATGAGTATATATAATAGGAAATATTAATTTTATATTATAATAAATTTATAAAACTATTTCTTTGTAGATTACTATATAATATATTACTTTTATAACACTTAAAACATAATTTATTTTTTTATTTTGCATACGATATCAACTAGAATTTCACATTTTAATGTTAAAAAATTTAAATATTCTCATATATTTTATAATAATGTGCTCAAAGTATTTTTCATTATGTAAGTAAACTACCGTAAGAATGTTCAAATTTTTGTTACTATTAGAATGCATAATATAACGAATAATATTCCTTTATAATATATACTTTATATTTATCTTAAATATCTCATGAAAGCTCATAGGACACATATCATGTATTTATAAAATGATTATATAATACATTAAAATGTAAAAATTCAATGGAATAGATAACATAGTATTTATGTAATTAGCATTTTTGAATGAAAATTTCATTAACTATTAAGTATTTTAAAAATTCAAAATATTTTCAGAGTTCAATTGATATGAATTTACTGCGCGAATATATATATTTTCATAATAATTTATAAATTATAATCTTTTAATAAAATATCTAATTAAAAGGTAAAATATATGCCCTTATATATATTGAAAAATTTAGTTGTTGAATTCAATATTCACTTATTACTTAATCGGTACACAAATTATAATTGAAATATATGAAGAAATTATTTTTTTTGCTTATTTGTATAATTATTATTGCTATATAATTGTTAACATAACAAAAAATTTTATGATTCAAACTATATTGTTATTATATAAATTTAAATATTTATGAAAATATTTATAAAGGAAAATTTTCTTCCTTTTTTGTAAATAATGTAGACATAATATATAGTAAATTTAATGTAATAATACGTATACGTTTTTTTTGTTATACTTTTATTTTTATATTTTATAAGGAACAAATCATATTAAAGTATATAATTCTTTGATTAATGTTAATAATATAAATATGTTATATTTTTTAATAGGTAAACATATGAGTTCAACTGTTATATTTTTTTCGACAATTTATTATAGTACGTGACAATTCACTAATGATAACCTCAAGATTTATTTATATTTAATTATTTTGAGTTTTTCCTGATACATACATTGTGCCTATTTTGTCATTATCATTATACTATATAAAAGGGGATTATTAAAACATAGATAATATATATTCGTAAAATAATAAAATGCTGACGAAATAATAATATTAGTATTCTTTATGTAATATAATAAATTATTCACAAGGTTTTAACATATATATAAATAAAATCATATTGTGAAATTTATATTTAATATTAGAACAAGAATAACAACATTTTCTATGTTTACAAAATAATAAGCGTTACTTCAAATATTAGAAATAATAGGTAAAATATCTACTATTTATATACAAGAAAATGATCTATATAAAATGAATAGCATTATCGAAATAGAACTTAAAATTTTCCTTCACATATTAAGATATTATAAGGGAATAATTTATGAAATATAACATATCATGATATTACCCAAATTATGAATAAACCAATATTTCTCTAATTATGTTTTAATATGTGGAAAGCACATATTCATTTATAAAAATAAATTTTAAAAGTGTATTTAGTTAAACAAATAGGATTTTATATTCATAAAATTATCAATTATAATATAAATATTATTATGTAATGTTTGTATTTAGAAAAAAAAAAAAAAATAATATGATTTCCAAATAAGTATAATATATTAAAGATAAGTATATTATATAATTAAAAACTATATTTCCTTTTTACACGTAAAAATAAAAAATATTTACTAATAATTATATTTATAAAAA